CAGCAAACAGCCTGCTGGAGAAAAGACAGTTACCAAAACATTGTGCTTGACTCTGTTGTTGTCTGTCTAGAATCTTTTTTTTTTTTTTTAAAGCTTTTTCAGCCTTTATGTGGAAATTCCTATCAAACGTTTGGACACTATTTGTACGCAGAAATTTCTCCTGCTCAGTCCCACAACTGTTCAGTCCCAGATAAACACACAGAGGCATATATTAATTATAAATTGTTTGACCCATTAGCTCAAGCTTATTATTGACTAGCTCTTACAATTTAAATTAACGCATAAATCTTCTTTATATTTAGTTACATGGCTTGGTACCTTTTCTAAGTGTAGGATTCTCATCTTGCTTCCTCTGCATCTGGCTGGTGGAGACCAGAGAATTCTTCTGAAAATTTTCCTAGTTGGTCCCCTCCCCCAATACTTTCTACGTGGCTATTAGCCAATCAGTGTTTTATTTAAAGCAATAAAAGTGACAAATCTTTGTAGTGTACAAAAGCATTATCCCACAGCACTCATTTCTCCTTCTGTTAATACTCTTTGCCTGCCAGCCTCCCCTGCCCTTGTTTCTGCCTCTCTATTGGCCGTTTATCTCATTATTAGGACCATGGGGTGTTTTAGAGAGGCACAGTAACACAGCCTCACAGAGTTAAACAAATTCAGTGTCACCAAAAGTCACATACCGGAAAATAATATTCCCCAACACAAATGTGTCAGATATTCTTTAGTAGGTACAGAGATAACAACAAAGGCTTTAAGTCACTTTGTCCTGGGTAACAAGCCTGGCCGTTTACTTAAAAGCTAGCACACTCTTGAGTTTAGCATTTGTAGAATCGCCTGTATGTTTGGCCAGACATGCTCCCCCCCCCTTTTTTTTTTCTTCTGTCAAGGGTCTTAGGACTGAGAGGAGAGCAGACATGAGGGAGGAAACATCTCTCCTTGCAAGGTTCTTTCATCTTGCAAGGTTGTCCTGGACCATGTAGTAAGCGTATCAAGGTTACACATGAGGACACTGCCTCAGTTGTGGGGGTGGGGGCAGATCCTCCCCTTAGTAATCTACCTTACGTGGAAGGAGTGGCCAAACCTTCCTACTGAGGCCACTTTACTGGGAGAGCTTTAATGTCTCCAGTGTGAAGGAGTTGCTAAAAATGAACTCTCAGTTTGCTAATCAGAGTTTACGGGTTTTGTTTGTTTGTTGCCTGCTAGCAACTCTTCAATTGACTCTATGTAGGCAACGAAGTAGGCAATATTTATTCCTTTCATAGATACGTCCCCACCACAAACAAGGCCCCTCTTCTCTGGTGTGGTCATGGGCCCTTCCTATCCTTTGGCATCTGTTTTTCTCTTTGCCATTCCAGACAAGCTTGTCTTCGTAATCTGGGTTTCTGCTCTGTGAGGAGATGCTTTGGCTGTGGTGTGTGATGCGGATTTTGGAAGGACAGCCTTTGGGTCCTTCAGACTATGTTTTCACTAGGAAAATGGAAAGTGACTGAAGGTGCTACTGCTGTTGGTGGGAGTCACCGTGGCTTTCAGTGTTTGTGGTGGGTCTGAGGACCACTCATTTGCTTTCAGCGGATATCTACGGCGGTTTCTGTTCTCTGTAGAATACCTCCTGTGCTCATTTCTCACTGCAGGTGCTGAGCAGCTCATTCCTTGCCCTGAATTGGAGGATCTTGGCTAGACAACTCCATTTTTGTTAATTTAGTTGGCTTTTTGGACAGCCTATCACTGGTAGTGTCCATCACATGAGTGCCCACTGTACACCACAACAACAGAGGTAGGAGAAAACATAAGCAGAACGTGGTGCCTCCTCCATGGCGGGAAAGCCAATAATATCAATGCTATTTCTGATATAGGGTGGAGTATTATAACATGTTCATGTCTGGAACCACATGGCAGGGCACTAATTTTTAATACAGAGGCCAAGTCGGGTTTTTCAGTCAAATAGTGGGCCTACATGGCAGAGTTGTGGTTTCTGGGTAGCTCTCCAAGAGTCCTGAGCACCTTGCATCGGAGAGGAATCTCTCTAGACGATACAGCCTCTCGGATCTGTCTGTCGAGGAAAGAGCAGGCTGGATCTGTGACTTTGCAAGGTGGACCGCTGCGCTCAGAGACGGACAGTGAGGGTCACAGAGACACTCAAGCCAGGTCTCAGGAGGCACTGAGCCACTGCTAGGAGAGAAAAAGAAAAGATGTATTGAGTGAACTTTTAAAGGCCCAGAGAACACGATTTGGTAACTGGTTTACAATTTGGAGAAAAGAAGCTTGGAGAATTGGAAATGACAGCTTTTCAGGTGATGTCACCAGGAAACCAACATGCCAATATAATTAAGCTTTGAACCTAGAAAAGGGACCCGAGCTGAGTACTGGGTGGGGGACATTAATGGTGGGGTTAGTGATGTGTAATTTTATGACCTTTATAAGATACATATAGGGTATATTCTTAGAAATTCGGGTAGAGCAGGCGGGAGTGGGAGATTTGGAGGTAGACAGAAATCTTAGTTCGTAAGAAATCTTTGGCGGATTGTGGCAGCTGCTCTCAGAGTGGCAGGACCTGAGGATGCGGCTGACTGACTCTTTCAAAGATCAAGTGCAGGGCTCTGAAAGGATCTGGGCCCCTGAAGAGGGTTTCCTCGGGGTCTTGGTGCACCAAAGCTGGCAGATACCATAGCTAAGAGGAAGCTTCAAATGAGATAATGACTCTTTCCCTACAGTTAATTATTTAATATTTTTATTGTTTTAATTGAGCTATATATTTTTCTCTGCTCCCCTTCCTCCCTCCCTCCTCTACAGTAATAAAAACAGCTTGGTATTGATTGGCATAAAAACAGATAGGAGGACCAGTGGAATTGAATCAGAGACCCAGATATTAATTCACACACTTACGAACACCTGATTTTGGACAAAGAAGCAAAGAATATAATTAATATAATCTTTAAAATTCCAGTGTTTGTGTTGCTTTGGAACTGTAGAAAACTAGAGAGGAAAGCATAACTCATGACTTTATTCATCACCTGTATCTTGTCATTATTAATATTTTGTCAGTTGTATTTCCTCCTGTCAGCCATGTGCTGTCAAGGCCATAGACTACTTCACAGCAGCATCAGGTTCTTGTCACTTCACATTGCAGTGACTCCTAAGGACAATCAGTATTTATATAACTGTGTCATTATGTTGTTAACGCTAAGAGATGCCTTCCTTCCTAATGAAACCTCCCTTCATCTAAATAACTTGAGGTCCTTGATAGCCCTCTGGTGATACTTAATCATGCCGATTAACTTTCTGAGGTCCTTTCTGAGGTCCGTGTGGGAGGTGGCGGTGTCCTAAGGAAGGTGATAACATGCTCTCTTCAGAAAGGATGCTTTTGCCATGTGGGGAGAAGTGAGCTTCTGTAGGGAGCCATGTTTGGTTTTCACGCCTCAGCTTACCTCCTGGGAACAGCACTAGAGAGCTACGATTCTGGAATTTGGCCAAATGAGGTGTATACCCAAATGCATCGCCACAGCTTTGCCTCCTGTGATTCACAAACTGTCCAGCCTCTTACTCTAGAACATAGGGCTCTATGTGGCATCTGTTTTGACCTCCATAGCTGTGTTGGAGGAGTGACCAGCAGCAGCTGGGAAGATGGACTAGCACAGGGCCAACAACCAGCCTCAAGTACCGGTAGTGCTCCCTCACTGGTTAGCACATGGTCAGGATTGCCCATCTTTGACATACGAGGCTAATGCTTCCATGTGTCTCCTCCTCATATCCGCATCACCTAGCTGGGTCTGCCCAGGGCCTTGAAGCTGCCAAACTTCATCTTTACTGTCATTTTCCTTGTATCTCAGATTCTAGAAGAACGGAAACTGATTTAATTCCTTCGACTTTTATTTTCTCCTCCTCCCCCCTTGCCTTCCTTCTCCTTTCCTACCTTCTCTTCCTTCTTTTGAAACAGTGTAATAATGAAGCAGAGGGCTACATTCCCACCTGGATCACACACAGCTAGCTTTGCCCCAGAATAACAACACACAAATTGTATTCATATAAACACTGCCTGGCCCATTAGTTCCAGCCTCTTATTGGCTAATTCTCACATCTTGCTTTAACCCATATTTAATAATCTGTGTAGCACCACGAGGTGTGGCTTACCAAGAAAGATCGTAACCTGTGTCTGTGTCAGGTGGGAGAATCATGGCGACTGAGTGACTAGGCTTCTTTCTCCCAGCATTCTGTTCTGTTTACTCTGCCTACCTAATTTTCTGTCCCATTAAAGGGCCAAGGCAGTTTCTTTATTTAACCAATGAAATCAACACAAAACAGAAGACTCCCACGTCAAAACAGGGTGTAGTGCTTTGTGTGAGAATGACCCCCATAGGCTCATGTGTTTGAATGCTTGGTCCCCCGTTACTGGAACTTTTCAAAAGGGTTAGGAAGTGTGGCCCTGGTGGAGGAGTCGCTGGGGGTGGCTTTGAGGTTCTAAGGTTCCGTTTCTCTCTCTGCCTGCTGCCTAAATGGCTACTGCTCTGGTTCAGTGCTTAGCTGTTAGAGGCTAACCCTCTGAAGCCGCAAACAGGCCCCCAATTAAATGGCTTCTTTTATAAGAGTCTCTTGGTCATGGTTCCTCTTCACAACATTAGAACAGTAACCAAGACAAAGGCTTCTCATGTAGCCCAGGTTGACATCAGAGCCATGATGTGCCGTGTGGGACCATCTCTCAGCTCTCAGTCTTGCTGCCTCTGCTTCCCTAGTGCTGAGATCACAGACAAGAGCCACCCACATCTGGCTCTGATTCCAGTGGGCGTTAGGTTTAGAGTCTACTTTCTCCAATTTATATCACTGACCTGAGAAACGTTCTTTCTTTCAAAGGAAACAGTAGTTTAGGGGAGCATTTAATCAGGCAGGTGAGGCCTGTTAAATCAAAATGTAGGCTTGTTTCTTTTGTCTGATTTACAAATGAGCAGTCACTTGCAGGAAGAAAGCAAGAGACATAGTGTAACCATTTTTACCCTCTCTAACTGTAGGAAATACAGTTGGAACATGCGAAGCAGGCCTTTGTGCAACGAGACAGTGGCAAGAACGGAAAAGTCACAGCCATCGACTTCCGGGACATCATGGTCACCATCCGCCCCCATGTCCTGACTCCTTTTGTTGAAGAATGCCTTGTAGCTGTAAGTCGTCATTGTCCTAATGAAGCGGTTTTTTTCTCCCTAATTTGAGCTAAGTAAACTGGGACAGTAAAGAGCAGTTCTTATGACTTATATAGTTTTATTTTTCTGTCTATAACGCTACTATTTTTTCTAATGTGATCACCTATATTGTCACCCTTGCAAACCTAACTATGTTTTGATTCATCTTTGTGGATAGGTTAATTGATTGTCTGAATTATATAGGGTGTTTTAGGTATGTGTGCAGTTGTTTTTCAGTGTCCCTGGAGTACTGCACCACGGTGCGTTCATATACTAAATTCTGCAGATACTCAAACCATTTATACAAAATGACACCGTCTTTGGATATTACCTACATGTACCTTCTTTGTACTTTAAATCATGTCTAGATTACTTGTAACATCTAATGCAGTGTAAGTGTTTTTAAGTCTTTGTTTCACTGTGTTGTTCAGGGAATAATGGCAAGGAAAAACATCTTTACAGTTCAGTGCAGATAGGATTTCTCCTTCCAAATCTTTGTAAAACTCTAGTTGGCTGCATCTGCCTATGTAGAATTTATCAAAATAAAGAATCCATCTGTATTAGCTGATTAGAAAAAAGGGGAAAGATAAAAATAATTTGTGATCTCATGCTAATTTTGCCTTGTATTTTGAGATATGTCATATGTTGATTTTAGTGTTATTTTAAGGAAAAAGAACCATGCATGCGTGCAGGCACCCACATAAGCACATACTCTTTGGCCTCTTGCCGTAGCTATAGGTAGACCAGAAGCCCTTAAGCTCAGATTTCTCATGGGCTTTTGGTGTCTGTTGGGATTGCGATGGTTCTTGTGACAAGCAGAGCCCTGGCATTATGTGTCATAGTTGTCTTTCCCCAAGGATGTCCAACCAATGTCCTTACCTCTTGGAATTCCAAGGTGCCCTACAGCATGCTGGGCAGTGTGGTTCCAAGCCTTGGCTATGGACTATCTAATTCACCAGGGAAGATCATTACAGATGGAACCCAGGTTTCCTGTAGGCCTGTGCATCACCACGGATGGGTGGCTAGGTTAGTGTCTGTTAAAGCTTCCAGCTGATTCTCTTGGTCATTCAGATTTAGGAACCATTTGCTAGACCACCTGTGTGCTCATGGCTGTCTGGGTTTCCCACAGTGCTGACCATGTGTCTTTCAAGTCTCTTTCGTTTCCTGGTGCTTCATTTTGAAAGCATAGCGTTTCCCATTCTGGTACGATGTTAATCTCACTTCTTTTCTTGCTTACACCCCCTCCCCAAACTCTCCTGTCAGCTATTTTAAACGATTACTACATGAAGATTTATGTGGCTGTTATTAAAGAAGTGTTGTTGAAATAGGAGCGGTGGGGCTGTGTCCCCGGCACCCGGCCGCCCGCATGGCTAGCTTATGCCCGAAATAATTACACGGAAACTGTATTCTATTAAACACTGCCTGGCCCGGCTAGTTCCAGCTTCTTATTGGCTAGCTCTTACATATTGATCTAACCCATTTCTAATATTCTGTGTAGCCCACGAGCTGGCTAACCAGGGAGGATCTTAACCTGTGTCTGTCTGGAGTGGGAGAATCATGGCGACTCTCTGACTAAGCTTCTTTTTCCCAGCATTCTCTTCTGTTTACTCCACCTACCTAATTTTCTGTCCTATGAGGGCCGAGGCAGTTTCTTTATTATAATTAACCAATGTCTTTCCTCCATCAAAGTGTTTTCCTAATAAAAAAAAAAGTATTTTTCCTTGTTAGGGAAGGATAGAATTTGAAACCCCAAACTGAAGTTCCATTCACAGTGGACATGCTATTTTTTTTTCCTGTCCCCTGCGAAGAAATTTTTTTTCTTAAAAATTCTGATTATTAGAATTCTAGCCAGCTTCAACCCCCACCTAAGCACAGGACATCTCCAAATTTTCCCAGAATTTTGCCTGTGCTTCAGCAGCCCCAGCAGTGTGGAGACTCAGGACTTAGTGATTATTCATTGCTGGTTTAGGTGCCATGGCACATCTTGACATTAATGTTGCGTTAGCCACTTCTTACAGTGTGTCGGTACAGATATGAGCGCTTGCATGTGTGTATGTGTGATCTAGTTTGTATGTTTAAGACCTTAGCATTTGCTCTTTAGATGAAATAAACCATTTTATACAACATCTGTCCCTGAAATTTGACCTCTGTAAATGACTGCTGGTCCTTTTCTAAGCCTGCACGTGGATTTCCTTAGTTTTCCAGGGGTTGGGTATGGAAGGACAAGCCCTGGTCATGATTGGCTGCAGCCACTTTAAAAAGTTACTTGTAGTTTCTTTTCTAATACGAAAGAAAAATACTTGTGTTGATCATTCCTGGTTACTTCCAAAAAAGCATTAAATATATGTACTTTTGAAATCTCTTCCCCTATTTATCTTATTTGTTGTTGTTGTTGTTTCTTCCTCTCACTTGTTCTCAACTTTCCAAGGCTGCGGGAGGCACCAGATCCCATCAAGTTAGTTTCTCCTACTTTAATGGATTTAATTCTCTCCTTAACAACATGGAGCTCATCAGGAAGATCTACAGCACTCTGGCTGGCAGCAGGAAAGACGTGGAGGTGACTAAGGGTGAGTGAGAGTCTTTCAGAGTTTTTGCTTCAATTGTGTTAGGCACTGGGGGCTGAGGACGTCAACCTGGAGCTATCATTAGAGTTTTCTGTCCTGTTCACCACATGCTAGTTAATTGGTGATATGTGGCCTCCACTCTATGATCAAACTAAGGTAAACAAAATAATCTTCACCGAATTTTTGATAAATTGAAGACAGCATTTGAATGAAGACAAGATACAGAATTTGTTGAGTCTTTGCAGTTCTTACAGAAACTTAAGCCAAATCGGCAGGCAGGTCAGTGGCCCTCAAAAATTATGTGAGCGTTCCACAAACCTGTACTGACAAGGGTGTATGTGATCTGTGAACTCAGAGAGGATACTATCACATTTCAGTGGGATTAAAAAAAAAAAAAAGACATAGAAAATTCACTTGGGATTGACGGTGTTTCTGTGAGGAGGCAGTTGAAGCTTTTCATACATGCTCCCCCATTTTCCTTGCCCTGTAAGCTGAATACCGTCCAGAGTAGTTTGTTTCGAGTCCCCACAGGGCACCGAGCTTTCCCTGTGTTAGGTGGTGGTCAGCATTCTTTTCCACGTGGATGAAAGACCTGGGGAGGTATGGAGTAACTTCATGAAACGGGTTGTGATTTCCGCTCCTCCACTGCTTTGATTGAATGCTGAACTCAGTGTTGCCCTCTCTGAATCTTTCTCTCTCTTCTCTGAATCTTTCTCTCTCTTCCCGTACAGAGGAGTTTGCTCTGGCAGCCCAGAAGTTTGGTCAGGTTACACCCATGGAAGTTGACATCTTGTTTCAGTTAGCTGATTTATATGAGCCAAGGGGGTAAGTTGTTTTTTTTTTTTAAGTTAGTTTAATAAAAGGAGTTTAGGAGCTAGGTGTGGAGAGAATACAGCAGGAGAGAAAGAAACCAAATAATGAAGGACAACAGTGAAATATGGGAAGTGATAAAAGGAACGTTCTGGAATTCTATAATGTGAATTTAAGGAATCTGGGGCTTTGTCATTGTTTGCTATGTTTGCTCTGTTCAGACGCATGACCTTAGCAGACATTGAGCGGATCGCTCCCCTGGAGGAAGGCATGCTGCCCTTCAACTTGGCTGAGGCCCAGAGGCAGGTGAGTGAGTAGTAGAAAGTTCTCGCCTGGTGTTTTCCACGGAGATAGCAGGCCCCGTGCGCTTCCATTGCCTTTCCAGCATTGATTTCTGATGTAAACATTTTCCAGTTTTGCTCCCAAAATGCAGACATTTTGAAGAGGCTGAAAAGGGAAATTATTTAACAACCTTCTGGTGAACGGATACAGGGCATGTGTTTCTTAGAAAGATGGAGCTGTTCTCCCAACACTAGAAACCCGAACACTCTCAAAACAAATAGTTCTTTTCTTCTTTACATCTGGTCCTGAGGGAAGTGGGCGTGGATCCCTGGGTCCTTGTGACTGTCCCCAGCAGCATCTGGCATTGCTAAATGAAAGCTATCTTTGCTCCTCAGAGGGGCACTGTCAAGAGCATTGTCTAACAGCCATGCCCTTCCGTTTTTTTTTTTTTTTCTGAGTATCAAAATGAGATAATTTTGTTTAGTCTGGAGTCATAGTTCAGAGGCTTTTAGACCTATTTTCTCTGTGAAAGGATTCGTAAGTTATGTGGAAACAATGTTAGGAATGCTGAATTTTATTTTATGGTTAACAGAAGCCCATGTCAGAAACTTAAGACATGGTACCTCCTCACTTAACCCTTGCTCAACACTGTATCTGGGGCTGAGAGCAATGCCTGCCTTCATTGCATGTGCTTTTGCCTGCATGGCACTTATAAAATAAATCCATGAGCAGACAGAGCATCGCTTTTAGAAAAAGGCCTCCTTTAAGGCAAAGCCATCTTCGAGTCTTGTGAGACTTAACTGTTTTTGGCTTGGAGCTCTGGATCTGAACAGCGACGCCAGTTTGACCACAATGGGTTGACTTGAGCTGCATTTTTAGGGCTGTCAGGCCTCGAGCCAGGACCCCTCCTCCCTTTAGCTCCTTCCCACCCAGAGGCAGCAGGGAGTTTTGTGTGCAGCACCGGGTGGAAGGAGTGGGTGTGTGCTCAGTAAATCCTAACTAGGCACCTCTGGGAAACCAGCTGGCTGTGGTTAAAAGAGGAAGCCAATTACCCCTGGTGCAGGAGAAAGAACTGTGTAATCCCGGGCAGAGGTGGAAGCCGCTTTGCTCTCTCCTCTCTTTGATTGTAGCCGCTGTGTCTGAGATAATTATCTCTTCGTCTGCGCGCCACCAGCTATCGTAGAGATTTGGGGATTAAGGGAAGCAGAGGGGCTGTTTCAGATCTCCCTGTTTTCCGCTGGCAGCAGTACCTCTCCCTTTCCCTCGGTGCCCTTTGCAGCCTTGGTGGGCTTCTCATGGGTGCTTCTTGGTGCTGGCCACAAAAGGTTAGAGTTAGATGAACTCCACTGCAGTAGGAAGTGACTGGCTGATGCAGAGATTTTAGAGCAATCCATAGCAGTCCTACCTGAAACCTAGTGTGATTTTGACTGCAAGGACCCCAGTGCGCCTGACAAATTCAAATACGGCAGGTCATCTCCCTCCGGGCCAGGTTATGTACCCCAGCACCCTACAGCCCCTGCAGTGTTTGTCCTAGACCGGGGGCAGTGAAGGTGGACTCCTTTCCTCATGTTGTTTTAAGAATATATTACGTTTTGTAGCTTCGAAAAGTGAAATGGGAACCTGGAATTTGATTTGTCTTCTAGAGGAAGAGGTGGCAGTAATGGCAGGTCCCTTCCTTTCGTATCTTTGAAATACTCTCATTCTTTATTTTGATGCCAGGACATTTTTAGTATCACATGTTTTCATACATGTAAATAAAATAATCTTCCTCCTTTGAATACACCTGTCACAGGGAAGGTAGAACACAGGGGTAGAATTGGAGACAACCATGGAATTTGTGGAAGAAATGTTTTACCTTCTTAGACATAGAGCGGTTTTTGGTTTAACGACTAAGGATTTCAAATGATCTAATTGTATTGGAATCGCGTTGCATTGACAGCCGCTAAAATTCAGTGGGTTGGTAGCTGAGGTTGGTGATTGTTTTCATTGTTCTCTGATGTTAATTATCAAGTCTTTTGAAAACAAATTTTTCCGGATGTATTTATTCCTTCAGCAGGTATTATTCAGTGCCGGCTGTATGTCACCCTCGCTCCCTCACTTGACAACTCTGTGGGACAGAGTTGCTACTTTATTTACACTGACAAAGTAGCACGATATTCGAAAATGTTTTGGCCACGGAAATGTGAAAGATAGCAGGTTCAAAGAACAGCAGTCGTCAGCTGACTGCCTAGGAGCACAGAGTCTAGGATAAATTTACAGTCACCCATAATTTACCCTTCGAGTTATGGTCTTCATAAACATTTTGAGTGTATCTAGGTAATATAGATGCCAAAATATTAGTGTTAATTTTATGTGTATGTATCAACTTGTAATTTTAACAGCAACAAAAGACTTCATATTCTACTCTTAATTCACTTTTCTTTTTAAATACCATAAAGAGCTAGAAAATTGGCTCAGCCTCAAAAAGAGCACTTGTTGCTCTTTCAGAGAACCTGGGTTTAGTTTCCAGTCCCCACATGATGGCTAACAACCATCCTTAACTTCTGTTGTGGGAGATTTTATACCATCGTAGACACCAGGCACACATGTGGTACACATGCATATAATAGCAGACAAAACACTCACATATGTAAAGACAATGCCACGAAAGGCCAAAGGAACATAATAAATACTTGTCCACTCACCACGCTCTTTTCAACTTGTTTTCTTTCATTTTAAAACTTTATTAACTTATTGTTATGTGTATGGGTGTTCCGCCTTCATCACATTTGTGCACCACACGTGGATCTGGTGTCAGCATCAGATCCTAAGGCTGGAGTCACAGACCACGTGGGTGCTGGGAATTGAACCTGGGTCCTCTGGAAGAGCAACCTGTGCTCTTAGCCATTGAACCATCTCTCCAGCTCCTTATGTTTTCTTTATAAAATAAGAGTCTTGTGAAATTTTGTTTTTTTTTAAACCAACATCGAATCTTCTTTGTAGATAACCATTTTAAATGATGTACTTTTGTTTTAAGAGTGATTGTTATTTTATTTATTTTTGAGACAGTGTCTCACTATGTGGTCCTGGTTTGCTTGCACTTTGCTGTGCAAGTCAGGCTGGCCCTGAACTTGCAAGAGGTCAGCCTCACCTTCCCAGTCCGGATGTATTTATTCCTTCAGCAGGTATTATTCAGTGCCGGCTGTATGTCACCCTCACTCCCTCACTTGACAACTACTGAGGATGAAAGGTGTGTGCCTCCGTGCCCACCAGCACATGATTTTAAACCTCTATTGTTGGCCATTCAGTGTATTTCCAGATAGTTTGCTCTTGGGGTACACAATCTTTGTTCCCTGTCTTTTCATTGCTGTTTCTTGCCTACAGTAAGAATTGCAGCATCAGAGATTGTATTCTTTAAGTGTTTGGATGTATGTTACTAAATTTTCCAAAGCTTGAACTTAGTTTAACAATGAGTTTAAGAATAACTTTTTATCAGTTCTTATTAGTCTCAGTATTACCATTTAAAACCTACACAAATTTCAAATAAAAAGCCCAGGCAGTTAGATTAATCAAGAATGATGTCTCCTTGGCAATTTTACATTGACATGTCTGTGCACACATATGGGGGCTGAGCATTTGAAATTGGGTTCGTACTGTTCTTTATATGTCACAATTTTAAGTCCCAATGTCATTTCATGCTTAGTGGCCAAACACCTATTAATAATAAGTACTTGATGGCCTCAGATCTCATTTTTCTCTTTGTATTTTACTTGTATTAGATTTATAATCCAGTCGGTGATACGATCAATAACCATACCTATTTCTGTCCTCTTTCCGTCCTCGGCTTGCCTGCTTATGGCCTCCTATTTGCTGGCTGCTTCTGGCTGCGCTGGTGTGTGAAGCAGAAGGCCTCTGGTGATGCGGCTCGGCCTTTTCTTCTCCAGCTCGCAGAGTCAGCCTACAGGTTTGGTCTGGGTTCTATTGCTGGAGGTCAGTCATGATGAGTGTTAAACTGTCACCTCTGTGTCATCCTCTGGTCTTTCCTTCAGTTTTCCACCTTGCTGCTTTCAGAGCCGTTCTCCAAGTCAATTACCAAGCTGTGTATCTATAGGAGGGCCAGAGCAGGGGGTCTTTTCCTGCACTTGCTGCTTCCAGAGTCGTTCCCAAGTCAGTTCCCCAGCTGTGTATCTATAAGAGGGCCAGAGCAGGGGGACTTTTCCGACTCTTGGACATGAGCAGCATCCTACAAGAGATAGCCCTTTTCTGAGGTTAGATTTCACTGAAATGCTTTTAATTAAATCTCTAGTGACAGCTTTTTGTCAGGGATGTCATTTGAATAAAAATGTACAATTAAGAATATAGAAAGACAGTTCAGTAATTCTGCGCATTAAAAATTCTGTTTTCAAACCTTTCTATAATTTTTATCCTCCTATTTCTTTCCCCCAGCTCACTTTAATTCTGGCTGAGATAATGGTATTTCTTAATTTCAGCTGTCGGAGCCACCGCTGTGTATCCTATTGATCTTGTAAAGACTCGAATGCAGAACCAACGGTCCACTGGCTCCTTTGTGGGGGAGCTCATGTACAAGAACAGCTTCGACTGTTTTAAGAAGGTGCTCCGCTATGAAGGCTTCTTTGGACTGTACAGAGGTCAGTATGGCCTGGAGTGGTGCGGTGCTCCCTTTGTGGAAGTGGAGTCCTAGCCGAGGGTTTGCTTTCCCATCTCAGTGCCTGAAATGAATTAGAGGGACTGTGTTAAAATGGGAATCCAGCAGATTCTCAATTATCCATGCTAATGGGTGTAGGCTGTAGGCGTCTAGGGCATGGCTAATCAAAACAGCCCATAGTCTGAAAGCCATTTATATTGCTCTGTTGTGTGTTTTATTTCTTAAAATAATAAATTATTTTTATGAATATTCTTAGTGAGTTTTTGAAAGCCTTATTGTTTGTGTTTTTGAAATATTCCCCTCACCATCTATCAGGGAAATGTATCCCTGGAACGGGACACAACTTTCTTGAGATTTGTGAATCTCCTGGAATGTCCAGTGGTCCCCACTGCACGGTGTCCCTTTCCATGGATTCGGTTATTCATGGTCAACCGTATTCTAAAAATACAGACTAGAAAATTCCAGAAATAAGCAACCCACAAATTTGTAAATAGTGTACTTGTCTGACGAGCTTGATGGAACTAACTTGTGTTTCTGCACCCAAATGCAACCATTGATTCTCCTGACATCTTCAGATCAGTAGCATCTTAATGTTCCATCACGGAACCATCCCCTGCTTTTTCTCACATCACCAAGGTGATATGCCAGCTTGTATCATCGCAGGAAGAGTGAGAGCAATACACTAAGAGACTCTGAGAGAGACCAGAGGATTACGGACCTTCTTTTCTATTGGGCTTGGCCTAGGAGACATGACCTTATTCTGCAGCTTCCTGTCTCTGCTTGCCTTTTGCAAAGAGCAGATAAGTACATTTTCATCAGTTACAGTGCAGAATTGTGAGGTGGCTCATGTCGGACCACTTTGCCGTTTGTCCAACTCCAGCTCTTCCCTGGTCCTGGGGAAGCAAATTTTGCCCCTTCCTCCGCTGAGGCCTGATGGATGAAAGTGACAGCCATGAGAGCCCTCTAGGCCTCTTCCGCCATCTGCTGACTTTAGTCTCCAAAGCCCAGTTAATGAACAAAAACCCTGTCACCTTAGAAGCTGGCAGCTTCCATTCTGCAGGTGCTATTGTATAGGTAGATAACCCCCATCAAAGGCCTTTTGATCTTTTCTCTCCCTTCTGTCCCTTGCCCCCTGCCTCCTATTACAATTTGGAAGGTCTTTGACCCCAGATGATCAATGATGACCCCTGTAGGGTCACCACCTTCCATTTGAAATGCTTTTCCTCTTGGTGACAACAACCTTTCAAATAAAATGGCTTCCCCATTAGTACAAGGTTAATGTCATAGTTAGTGCTTTACAGTAACTCAGGCAAAAATGACCACCTTATCTGCATCTATTGTGTTGTTGTTTCTGTTTGGGTGGTTTGCTTGTTTTGTTTTTACAGGAAAAACGTTGTGCCCAGATGTCCAAGTCTTGATGTGTCTTCACTGAATGCTTTTGTGGGTAGTGAAATTAATGGTAGAGTAGCCTTTCCATTGTGAGAACCCTCCCAACACAGTGATTCTTTCAGTTTGCTTGTGTTGACTTTTAACTTTCAGTCCCTTTTCTCTCCTCTGTGACTACACCTGGCCAATCCTGATCCTTGGTTCTATCTAGTTCTTTCTCTGGCTGACCTCACCTTTTGATCCCATGGACCCAAGAGCTCAAAGGGTACATGAGCTGAGTGACTCATGGGCTGTGCAAAACAGTTCATCCCTCTTGAGGATGGAGCTGTGGGCATGTGGAGAAGACATGCTGTTTTATCTTCCGGACAGGAGAGCGAGCTGGCATAGAGAGTGGAGGCTCGTTCTAGGTGACAGAGACAGCTTCATAAATAGCCATTTATCTAACCTGCTTTGAGGCATGACCCTCAGGGCAGGGATTGAATCTGTTTGTCAGGATAAGTAGAATGTGATGTAAGATTGACATTAGGGATCACCTATGTTCTTTTTTCTCTGAGTGTTTTTCTTTGCTAGAGGATGAATTTTAAACAAAAAGTTGACTTTAAAGCTCTTTAATTTACAGTTTGCAGTTCAATTCCCATCTTTAATTTGAATCTTGAGCAAAGAGATGATAGATAGTTACAGTTAAAAACAATAATGCCCTGATAATGGTGTATTCTTTTTCTGGACTGCTGAGGGACCTGCGCTTTTGAGCACATTGTGCACAATCGTTGTGTCTTTGTAAGTGTTTGTCATTGGGCCGGAGACCAAATGAAACTGCAGGTAACCCATGAGAAATAGTCACTATTAAAAATAAGAATAATAGAAATAAAGACAAGTATTTCTGAGATAGTCTTTAGATTTAAATCATTATACAAAATTTCCCCAAGTGATTCTCTGTATGTTTCACCTTAAATGTAACATAGTTGTTTTTTGAAGTTGGAGGAAAATGGTCGGATTTAAAGTTGGAGAACATAGAGTTGCCGCTGTTAATACTGTGTACTGGCAGTAGTTGAAACAATGCGAAATATCACTAATTTATAGATGAGCTATGGAACGTTAGGCATTTTCTCACATTTTAGAATTTGCATGAGATAGAACTTTTCTCCATTGTAACATGTATCCTAAATAAGGTAATTTGAGATTTTGGTACAAATGAGGTCTCTCTCCTATTTGAAATTACCTCTGCATATGCTTTCCCAACACTGCACTGCAAACCACCGTGGGAGAAGGTACTTCTACACCGTGTGTTTTTATTCCAAGGGTAATAGCTGCCCCCCACACTGCCTTTTCTGCTAAGGACAGGAGCTCTGGAAGCTGCTTTTGCATTTAAAAGCAGTTCCCTATGGAACCAGAGTGAAGGTTACCATCAGAGAATTCTGACGGTGCTTAGGGCAATAATCAGAACACACACGTCTGGATCGCTACCCCTGGTCACCTGGAAGACTGATGGAAATCTTAGGAGCCCTGTGACTCTGGTTCAACCTCCTCTGTAATGCAGGGGACTTTGTTTACAGGGAATGACTTCTCAGGTATTTTTATAAATTTTGAACATCTAAACCTTAGACTAAGTAGATAACCCAAGATTCCCTGAAGTCACTTGTAAAAATCCTCTCAGGTCTCCAGCCTGATTTAATTCCCTCAAAGGAATTTGAGACTTTGATGAATTCCCTGGCAGTTCTTTGGGTTTGATGAACTGCTTGAGCAGATTGAGTCAGTCATTGGCCCGCCATAGTCTGAGCTGGTCTAAGAGAAACAATTGCTGGGCAGTCATCCACAATCAGTTGTTCTTTACGTTCCAGACATAACTAGTTGCTGCTTTTGAACTTCTAGTACCCTCCCGCCTCTCCTGTGCCCAAGTGGTAAGATGAGGAGCCTCCAACATTGGGAGATGTTTTGTGAGGACTCTGGGGACAGGAAATATACCCAAGAGAAAGCAGAGTCCATCAGAGACACTTCTTATAGGATTTCTGTTTTTGTTGTTGGGAGAACCCTAAAGTTCATTTTTTGAAATAAAAATATAAGAAAAAATTCCAGAAAAACATATTAGATCATTTTATGAGCCATACCTTAATTTAGATACATATTTATTGTCAAATAAATAATAAAATAAACATCAGTCCCCACAAATATAAAATATTATTCAAATTACCCCATTGATTCAGGTGCACGGAATTTTAGAACTCTCTGTTTCAAGTTGTTTTTGTGATTCAAGGCAATCATGCTCCATCCTGGCATGTTCTCAAGGTGACATCTAGAGGATGTTGTGGTGATATTTCAGGAAGTCATTAATCAGAGTATATTTTAGAGAAAAGTTGGTGGGCAGCTAGTTTAAACCAAGTCTCTTGTTATGGTTGATGGTAGTATTGTTGAGAGAATCTAAATTCAGTGGGCTTCCTATGAGAAACTTTCTTCATATTTAACTCTTGTGGATAAAAATAGACCTAAAAATCTTAACACTAAAACAAAACCATTGAGGTTTCGATCACTTGTATCAGCATCTCTTAATGACACATGCACCTTTGAAGAGACCACAGTTCTTCCTGAACTGCCTTGACTCACGGGTCCACTCTGGCCCAGCAGAATGTTCATTCTGTGCAGAATGGGCTGCTCTAAGTCCAGTTTCCGTGCCCTATTTCTTCACTGTTTCATTTATGATGTTAAATTAGAGGCAGACATCAGAAGACAGATACTCGACTGTGGGAAACCAGGAGTGAGCAGAAGACTTGGACACTCTTGGTTGAGTGTCCACTAGCAGACATTAAGGTGACACACATGGACTGGGGTGGCTGAGAGGTGATTTGGTGCTCAAGAAGGCCACAGAGGAGAAACGGTGCGCTTAGCCAGTTCAGGAGGGTGACAGGTTTCGGGATTTTGTGCAACCTGGAGGAGAGATTAATGACAAATCTGTTTCAGACTTCTGGAACAGGTATTTGAGTGGCTGCTGTCCTTGACCAGAGTGAGACAGACTAAACTTTCTAGTCCAGATGCTAGATGACCGCATTCGGAAGCTCCCACATAGGACTGAAGAAAGACTTTCTGGAAAACCCTAAAATAGCAACAAAGACTTGCTTCTTTTTCTAAACCTTTATTGATATCATTCATTTTTAGGTTTTAATACATAGACACCCAAAAGCATCCTGAAGCATACCATAGACTGTTGTCAAAAATTCTAATAAAGCATGGAACTCAGTAAACAAGCCTTGAAAGCCCAGTTGCTTCCACCCCAAACTGCCCCATAATCTATCCACCACAGAGCAGCAGTTCTGAGAGCCTGTGGAGAACTGGACTGTGGTGAGACTTTGAAACAGGATAGTGTGTTTGGGAAGGAGTCTCCTGCCTGAGGCAATGTGAGTGGAAAGAGAAAGGCTGTGCTAGGAGGAGGAGGAAGAGGAATGCCTGCAAGAGAGTGGAGAGACAGGAATGAGAGTAAAAACTGTAAGGTGTGCTGCATGGAGCCCCGATCACTCCAGAGTGAGGGCTCATCTGATGTAGGAAGCTAGGGGGCTCTCTGGGGCCATCGGGACAAGCATATTGGCCTACACAATGAGGTCAGGAGGG